TTCTTAGAGACTCTTGTTTCCTTACCATTGTAATTTAGCATTACATTTTACACGAATCTTGGCAGTAAAATTGATCATTTGAATAATAGAATTTTACAATTTAGGTCTTGTTTTCATGAATTTGGCTGTCTATTCTGTTGTTTTCTTTAATCACCAACCTAAATGCTTAGAACTGTGGGTGCAGTGACACTGCAGTCCAGCATCTTATAATCACTTGAATCACACACCTGCTCTAGATTGTGGCATTCACGTTTTTCGTGCTTTCAGGGCCACCTCATATTCTTCTTCACACTTGAAGGGTAGGGTGAAGGGAGGGAGTTGCGATCTGCAACTACACCATTTGATGCCACTAAATCAAAAATCAAAAATACTCCAAATTTTTAAAATTAAAATACTTGAGCTGGAATGTAATTTAAAATACGTTTTTGATTTCCTGTAATATTTCGTTTCACTATCAGCCTGCTACATAGTCATATTCATGCACCTTGTATCTTGGTTCAAAAACACTGCAATTGTGGCTCCAGACAGGAATTATTGATAAGAGTATGGACCCCTTTTCTACCAAATTAGCTCTGGTTCTTGAACAGGTTATGTTCAGGATTCAATAACAGTCAACAATAAATAATGTAATTAGGAATAAACCTGAGTCCTGAATGAACTGTCCATAGCTGAGTAGGGTCAGCAAGAAACAATGATTTTATGATAACTGAAAGGTGTGAATATGAAAACAAACTGGTTTATTTTTCCTTTAATGTGATTCATTCCTCTGCAGGAAAAACTACAAGATTACCATTGAGCGCCGCACACAGAGTGAAGAGTGTGCCACTGGGAAGCACCGTCAGTTACGAGAGGATTCCATCAGATCAAACCTCTCAGCAGCATAATCTGCGGCAGCAAAAGTCCCTTTACAAGAATCACACATCTGATTGTGACCAAAGACTTTGCAATGGTTGTCAGTAGAGCCATGCTGTTAAAATGAGACATTTTGTGTTTGTATCCTTTTAATGTTTTGACTTATTGTAACTCAGGACAGTTGTAACAGTCACAAAGCACCACTTACTTGGATTTTCCTCTGTACAAAGGTATATGATTGTATTGGTGTATAGAAAGCTTTTGAACATAATATTTTGAAAAGGTTATATATATATTATATATATATAGCCGACCGCAATTTTAACTTGCAGATAATTGTAAAATACACACAATTAAAATCCACCAAAAACATTATGGAAAAGATACCTTCAGAGATATACCTTTTGTTTAACCAGGAACCATTATATCGCGGTCACTCACCACCAGAATCCATAGACAAAAACAGTAATGTTATGTTGCACATCATAAAAAGTGGACAGACACAAAATAAAATCCACCAAAACAGTCTTCATTAGTCTTTCCACTGTTCCAACAATCACCAGGTTTGGTCATGAGATGATAAAAACAGATGTTTCAGTAGCTATCCTCAAAGATTTAAATGCCTTAATGTGCACCTGTGGCCAGACAGGAGAAGTAAACAATGCTCGGGGATCAAAACAGGCAGAGGGAGTGTGACGTCAGTCTCTGCTCAGGATGCCTTCATTCGCATAGCAAAAAGTTGTTTGCTGCTATATTAATGTTCTAAATATCGTATATATAACTTTGAAAAAAAAAATGGTTTAATTTTTTTTAAATATTCATATGGTGGTTACCATGACTGTGAATGACTGAGAACAGACAGTGTATCTGACACTACATTGGCATGCACTAGTAGGGTGGCTGAGGCATTTAACAGGACAAACAGAGGCCTCATGTTTACAGGTGGTTTAACAGTAATGCCAGAGTAAAGCTTTGAGGAAATGATACAGCTAGAACTAACCGACTAAAAGGGGTGTAGGCTAGATCTTTATCTATAGGCTGTAAGCTACTGATATTAAGCTACTGATATTGTAAGGTTTTCAGCTAACATAACCTTACTGAGATCCAGCAGCCTCCATACAATTCCCAACTGAGCACATTGCTCTTAAAATGAGAAACACTGGGTCACATATCATCTTAAAAGTACACCTCTTCAACACCTTTAGATTGCCTCATTTACAGTATTACCTTTTTAAATTTGTCTATTTAATAAATTCAGTTGCTACCTGTGTAAGAAATTGTGGTACTACTTTCTGATAAGGCATATTTTGCAACGTATGCTTTATTAATGGTTAATAAATGAATTACTAATGCTTTATTGATCAGTAATAAGGCAGTAATAACAACAACTTGATTTGTTGTCGTTTTGGCTTAACTGCTAACCGTCGTTCCAGTGAATTAAAGGGAAATGACTTATTACAACTTAATACTTACTACAACCAATGGCCACAGACACAAAAATAGTAGTAAAACTAAGAATTATTCGAATAATAATTTCCTAAACAACCAATCAGGATATATTGAAAGTTACAGAAAATATGATAAAAAGTTATGTTTATAAAAATTACCAACTGAAGCTTTAGTGACTTATTAGATGCATACCTTAATAAATTATTTATTACCAAAGACATGAGGTCCAAATTATAAACCCCCTAAAAGTATTCCTTATCAGAAAGTGGAACTAAAACCATAACTAATTGTGATATTCATGATAGATCATTATATTTCTGTGTTATAAAGGCAGTGTGAGATGCTTTCCATAAACAGTAGTGACTGCATAAAAAAAAAGTATTCGTGACCTTTATTTTTTTTAGCTGTTGAACTCTTTGTCAGTGGGTTGCATTATTCATGCACTATTTAAAGACGAGGTTTTTATAGAAACAAAAGAAACACAGTGACCTTGGTAAAGAACCTCCCTAGCCTGTTGGTTCCATTTGTGTGTTGGTAAAATATTCTAAGTAAACAGATTATTGTATACAGTTTCAAAGCACCACATTAACTTGCTTTATTTAAAGTTCTGTATAATATCACTTTAATGACTTATAGTATCTGGTAGGGTATAGTGACTTTCCTACCACCTTAATATATTTAAATTATTTATAACTTCAAATGTTTTCTCCCAGTATTGAATTAATAGTGATTTTATTAAACTAAATTGTATTTGGTTCTTTTTATACCATCATTATCTTAAATATCACCCACACTTCTGTTGTAACAATTAGTTTTTTCTCATATGATTGACAGTAGGGACTGTTTGATTACATATACAACTCTAAAGCTGTTTTAGTGAATGAATTATCAGATTATGATATTGATT